CAACGGGACCTTGTTAGGGACCATCCACACATTCTTCGGAAGCACCGACGCTTCCTTCCGAATACATAGTAGCGGTAGATTCGTACTGGGCAATACGTGGCACCAGCTGGGGCAGACCTCCTTTCCCGGACTGGTATCATTACAAGCCAACACAAGAAGAAGAAAGAGAAGAGTCACAAGACATGACTTATGACTTTGGCGAACCAGAAGAATTACCTGAACATAGAGAGGAGCCGCCGCCACCAGAACAGGGCCACACCTGATCCCAGTCGCTCGCGGCAAATATCTCTACCACCAAATTCCAATGGAAGGACTCCCGCCTCTGAGTGGCCAGAAGCGTTTCCCCACAAACTTCTTTCGGTCATTGACGACTCCATTCACGTTGCCGATACGGACAACATCGTCGACATTCCAAAGGCCGACCTCAAATATGCTTCACCTCAAGCCTTCGCAACGAATGTGACCAGTCCATTCACGTCGCCGATACGGACAAAATCGTCGACATTCCAAAGGCCGGCCTCGAATACGCTTCAACATAAGCCTTTGCAACGGATGTATGAGCCGTGTCAAAACTAGCAGTCAGAAGGAGAAATGAACAAAGGAGGATTTGCACTAGCAGCAGTTGGCATACATATAGGAAACCCTGATTGGGTTGTACTCGCTATAGAGTACCCCACTGCAGGCTAGACAATAATAGCATTCTGACACACCCCCATAGTCAAAGTGGGGTATAATCAGCATAGCATGCAGTCATAGAGAAAGTCACAAGGGCAAGCAAAGCTAGAGGCATTCACAACGGGCACGTGAGGAGGAGGAGGCTGGACTGTGAGACGAGAGGAGATGGGAAGCGACGGCGGAAGCTGCAGACACACGGGCAACAGGAGCGGCTAGCACAGTGGCTACCGGGACAGCGCCCCGGACTACAGGGAGTAACTGGCTCTGCGGCGCGGCAGAAGCAACGGACCCACGGGCGACAGGCACAGCAGGCTCTCTGGGCTACCGAGAGGAAGACAGGCTCCGGACTACTGGCGCTGCAGGCGACACGACGGCAGCCTCCACGCAACTTCCCCCAACTGTCCCACCCCCCTTTCACACCCCCCTTGCTGTACCCCTAGCTCCACTCCCACGTCAACCCCCTAGCACCACTCCTTCGGCTCCCCACACACCCACCCCCCTGAGCGGCAGCTGCAGCAGCGGGAGACAGAGGAGGAGGAGGAGTAGGGGACGGCACACACAACCGGCACCCCCACAACCGCCACCCCCACACTCCTCACCCCCAAACCCTAAAACGGGTGGCACAGGGTAGGAGCGCGGGGGACGGCGAGGGGGATGGCGTGCGGCCCCCAGGGCGCCACCACGGGGCAAGGAGGGGCCGTGCGTGGCTCCCCAGGGCGCCGCGACGGGGCAGCAGGGGGTCGCGCGCGGCTCCTCAGGGCGCCGCGACGTGACGACGCGAACAACGGGGGGGACGCGCGGCCCCCGGGGCGCCTCGACGGGCGACGGGATGGGGGGGACGCGCAGCCCCCGTGACATCGCGACGAGACGGAGTGAAGGCCTGTATAATGCTGGGGACACACGAAGTAACAGAATCTCATCACTCCATCTTCTACGAAAAACTGACCCTGCCAATGTTCAAGGAACACCGTGAAGCTGACAAGGCACTGGAAACCGTTTTTGCGGGACACAACAGCTTCGTAGCAGCACAAGACAAAGCTGATACGGCGTAAGATGCGGCGGACGTCTCAGCACTCGAACATAATCCAAACATCCCCCTTACAAGCCCGCTCCAAACCCCGACCTTCATACCTATCTCACAATTCGATCCCAGCAATACAACTCGTGAAGCCCACAACTACAACAGCATGACGCGCCGATCTCGGGATGTCGAGTTACCACCACCAAGTCTCTCGCGAGACACCATTCGCAACTGCAACGACAGCGACGAAGACGTCGTCGAGGTAACTAGTATCCACGACTTCGACTGCCTCGCTTACGCCACCGCCAACGAAACTGGTCTTCGCGTCCTTGGGCTCACAGTATAAGTTTGCCGACTCTCACCCAAGGAACCCACCACCATGCGCCAAGCCCAACCTGCCCTCGACAGCAAAAAATGGAGAGTAGCCATGGCAGCTGAAGTAGCAGCGCTCAAGCGCCGCGGGACCTAGAAATTGGTTCCCTGCTCATCTGCACAAGGGCGAAAAATATTAAGCGGCAAATGGGTCTTCCGGACTAAAACGCTTGCGGACGGGTCAATCGTCATGTACGAAGCGAGATGGGTGGTATGCGGCTTTGAACAAACTCATATGGTGGATTACGACCAAACCTTCGCACCGGTCGGACAGCACACCTCGGCGCCCATTCATATCTACATACCAGCCGTCAAACAGCGACCGTTTCGCCAGATTGACGTCCACAACGGTTCTTGTGCGCAATCGTCGATGCCATAATCTTCATCGAGCAGCCGCACGCAATCGTAGAAAGCAACAACATAGTCTGCCTCCGATAGAAATCCCTCCACAGCATGAACAAGCTCCCCGCCTATAGCAATAGTACCCACACTCTATCTTCGTCGATCTCGGCTTCAATCAGTTGCCACACAACCAAGGCATGAACCGGAAGGTACATTCTCCTCGTTGCCTACGTTGACGACCTGCTCGTGACGACATGGAACTACTCGACTTATTCGACGAAGAAATCAAGGAAAACCTGGAAGTGACAATCACTCACAATGTCACGCAATTCATGGGTCTCAAGGTCACCTAGTCCGCCACCTCCATCCATCTCTCTGCCAGTAAGCACACGGAAATTGTCGCGAAGAGATTCACGATCGCGCCGATCAACCTAACCACCCCCGTCCGCACGCCTCCTTCTAATCACGAGCCGGACACCTCGCCTCTCTCCATCGATGACCATCACCTCTACCAGCAGCAAGTCGGATGTCTACTACTCGCCACCGTCACGAGTTGACCGAATCTTTCCTACGTCGCAATCAAGCTTGCATAGTACCTGCACCGACCTAAAGGGGAGAACATGCCAAACACTCCAGTACTTCATCTCCACCCTTGACATCGAGCTCATCTATATGGCTAATCTAACAGCTACCCTTCAACCCCATGGCTACGTATATGCATACAATGCGGGAGATGTTGACAATAGACGCTCCTGCACAGGCATCATATTTCAACTCCAACCTACTGGACTCATTCCATGGAACTTTGGGGTGGGGGAGAAGGTCTGGAAGAAGTCAACTCCCTCTCGCTGACTGAAGCCTCGTGCAACGTAACGAGCCTTGAAGACAGGCGGAGAACCCGGCGGCCACTTCACCCTGAAAACCCACATGCCATCGACGATGTTCGCCCCAAAAAGGGGAACCTCGTCGACGTAAGTGCATGTGCACTTCCAGGATGCCATCTCTGCATCCATGGCTATCTGCCACTGAGAGGAGTACTCACCTACAATCGCTTCAGCGTAAGAGCGCGGGGTCGGGATGTCTGGTGCATCCGGGTCTCCCTCAGGGGCAAGCAGCATGGCCATGAGATGAGGTGCAGCGGCTGCAAGACACTCAAGGTCCTCGTGCCTGTCCTTAAGGACGTCCGTGCCAAGAGCACACTCACCCCCGACGGACGGAGGACAGACAGACTCAGACTCAGCAACAAGACTAGCGGCGTAGTCGAGGCGTCAAGCAGCAGCAAAGTCAACAAGCTCAGCGACTAAGGCAGGCGCAGCAGTAGACTCAAACGACGGGTCTATAACAACAGTGGCTAACAGACGCGTGACAGTAGGGTGAGCACCACGAACCAGGTCAGACTCAGGGTCCGGAACGTCAGGCAGAGAAGATGCAAGAGGAGACGACAAGGGAATGCGCAGAGGAACAGAGGAAGGACGAAGGGATATAGTGTGTGTGCCGGGGACAGGAGGAGGACACTCACGAGGAACACGACGACCAATGCGACCCGCGCGAACAGGCGAGGCAGGACGAGACGCAGGCTCACGACGCTGGATAAGACCTCCTGTCTGCTCAGTGTAAGGAGAGTGAGCAGGCAGTGGGGAGCCTGGCTGTAATGGGAGACCAGTTGAAAACGGGAGACTAAGAACATGGCAAAGCACCGAGTCAGGCGGCGGCAGAGACGACGGTGAGGGTGGAGCGAAGATTAGTCGCGGCGGTGCAGTACCACCAGGACCAGCTCCTCCAGCACCAGCACCTCCAGGGTCTCCAGCAGCTCTAGAAACGCCAACTCTAGCACCTCCAGCAGCTCCAGAAACTCCAGCTCCAGCGCCTACAGCTCCAGAGTCCGCAGCACCACCGGCTCCGGCAACTCCAGCACCCGAAGTGCGAGCACCTCCGGGACCAGCGGTGCTCGTACCACCAGCACCTCCAGCACCAGCAGCACCACCAGCTTCAGCACTACCACTAGCTCCAGGGTCTCCAGCACCAGCAGTACCGCCACCGCCCCCAGCTCCAGCACGCCTAGGACGAGCGCCTCCGGGACCAGCACTGCCAGGCCGAGAGCAGGTGCGCATAGTGTACCACTCACGTAGCTGCTCCGTCGAGAGAGGCTCTCGCAGAGTAGACGCGGTGCCTTGAGGCTCAACACCCCCAGACGTAGCACCCCCAGGCGCCGCACGCTCAGGCTCGGCACTCCGCGGCGCCGCACGCGCAGGCTTAGCACCCCCAGGCTCCGCACTCCTAGGCTCAGCAACCCCAGACTCAGCACCCCCAGGCTCCGCACCTTCAGGCTCAGCACCCCTAGGCTCTGCACCCTCAGGCTCAGCACCCCCAAGCTCCGCACACTTTGGCTCAGTACCCCCAGGCTCCACACCCCCAGGCCCAGCACCCCCAGGCTCAGCACCCCCAAGGTCAGCACCCCTAGACGCAGCACCCCGAGCAGGACCACCCCCAGCAGCACCTGAGTTACCAGTGACCTCGAGAGGCTCAGCCAAGGGAGGTGGGTCTACCTGAGACACACTTGAAGGAGTAGGACCCTGAGAAGGAAGGGTGTCTACCGGAGGGGGACCTGGAGCGAGAAAGAGCGGCGGGGGGGGGGGAGAGGGGCAGTGCGGTAGGGAAGGAGACAGTAAAAGGGAACCGACTCGTCAAACGTGAAGTCTTGAGAGAAGAAGACACGGCGCGAGGTGGGGACGTAAAAGTGCCAACCAAGCGCGTCAGAAGGAAAGCCAAGGAAGATGCAGAAAATGGCGCGGGAGGAGAGCTTGTCCGTGGTGGTATCGCGGATAAAGGTCCGAGAGCCCCAGACCCGGAACTGCAACGCATCGCCAACCTCCCTCGTCCAACGCAGTGTGGGCGAGGTCTCCAACAAGGAGACACGGGGACAAAGGTTGAGCCGTTGCACGGCGTACCGGACCGCAAACGGCCACAAAAAACGGGGAGCAGTCGCATGGATCATGGAGGTACGAGCGATCTCCATGACTAAGCCAATGCGGCGCTCAGCAACCCCATTCTGCTACGGGGAGGCCGGAAGCGTGAACGTCTGGCGGATGCTGTGCTCTTCACAATAGGCTCGCAAGAGGTCGGAGGAGAACTCAACACCTTTGTCAGAGTGCAGACGCTTGCGGGTCTAGTGAGTAGTGTGATCGTGGTACTGTCGCAAAAGAAGCAGCGAGTAGCACCTGAGTCAAGCGTGAAGGTGTGCAAGGCCTCAGCAGGCGCAGTACCTGAAAGAGCAGACTCACTACCACCTAGAGAAGCAGTTGGTATACTTGGGTCAGGCGGCACACACAAGTAACAGTCACCCTCAACACTAGTAGACAAAGCATGCATGCCAGTAAGAATAGCATCAAAGTCAAGATCAAAGATTTTAACACCAGCCTTAAGCAGCTCTGCCCAGCGGGGCATCTCATGATCATCGCCAAACTCAGCGCGCCAAGCGTCGTCTAGGCGGGAGAAGCACAGGTACTGGGTGTGAAGCTTGCCGCACGTCTTACCCTTGCGGTCACCTGTGTGAATGATGTACGGGCAGGAAGCACTACCCCCAGACACCCTGCGCTGAGCATACCAATCACGAAGCTGCTGGGTCGTGAGGGTCTCACGATGGCGCTGCTGCTGCTGCTGTCGCTGACCAGCTCCAGATTGCCCACCGCTGCTGCTGCAGCCACCACAGCCGCCGCCACCACCACTGCCCCCACTACGGCCACTGTCGCCACGACCACCGCCACTGCCACCCCCGCTGCTGTCGCCACCCCCGCCACCGACTCCCCCGCTCCTGCCACCACTCCCACTGCCATCTCCGCCACCTCCACCGCCTCCACCACCACCGCCTCCACCGCCGCCACCCCCACCATTCTAGCCTCCCTTCCCCTTACCGTTGCGGTGCCTCCCATTAGGAGCAGAAGCAGTACCGACTCCCTCAACACCTAGGAGGTCAACAGCAGTAGCAGAAGCAACAGAGGGGGCAAGGGGGAGGGGGAGCACCCCTCAAAGAAGGGCGTGCGGGGAATGCCACGAGCAGCACCTACAGTGACTATGTTGGTCTGAGCTACTAGGAGGTGCTTTGCGAGCAGGTCAATAGTGAGTTCTGGGGGGGCGAAGGGCGAGAAGGGTGTCCCGAACTGCACTAAGAAAGTCAGGGAGGCAAGTGACTATAAAGTAGAGAGTGATTCAAATCGGGGGCTCGTTCTTGGGGACAAAATCGATGGGGAGGGCAGCACGGTAGCGAGTGTCGACAGCGTGGAGGTGGGTGATGAGGTCGTCTATAGTGTCGAAAGAGGACAACTCGGGTTAGAGGTAGGGGAGGATGAGGTGGCCTAGAGCTGCAGTGGTAGGGGAAGAGTAGCGAGCGACTACAGCGTCATACATGTCTTTGGCCATTTCAGCCTGATCAAAGTGCACGCGTTCGGCTATCGACAGGTGATTACGGACGTCTAAGCAAGCGGCAGCGTCGCGAGTGAGCCATTTTGAGAGAACCGTACTATCAATTGTGTCGGGGGGGCATGTTGAGCTCCAAACGTGAGGTCAAACAGTAAGACATCGTCTTTAGAGTCGCTGAGGAGGAACGGCTATAGCTTTTGTAGCCAAGTGTCGAACTTGATCGGGCGGCCGTCAGGATCAAACTCGAGGACACTGAGGGTGGCCATAGCGTCGCGGTAAGGGCAAAGTAAGCGGGCGTGCGGTAAGCAAGGCGGCGCACGGGCTGCAAGAGCTACGCGCGGGCCACGCGGGCTGCAGACGGGCAGCGCGCGAGGAGGCGGAGGCGGCGCGCGGGCTGCAGGACAGGGCACGGTGCAGGGCAGCGTGCGGGCGGCAACTGCAGCAGCAGCACGAGCGCGCAGGTAGGGCACGGTGCAGAGCGTGCGCAGGCAGCAAGGCACGCGGGCAGCACTGGCTGCAGTGCGGCGCGTGCAGGGTGCAGGGCACGCGGGCTACAGGGCAGGGCAGCGAGCAGCTGCAGGGCGTGCACGCTGCAGGGCAGGGCAGCGAGCGGGCTCTGTAGAGCACAGCGCAGCAGTGCGTGTGGCAGAAGCAGCACAGACGCAGCAGCGCGGGCTGCAGGGCAGGGCACGCGCGTGCAGGCAGGGCGTGCGTAGGTAGGGCAGGGCGGCGCTGCTCGGGCAGAACGCCGCGGCGAGAGCAGGGCGACGCGGCCGGGCAGCGCGCAGGCAGGGCGAGGGGCAGCGGGTGGCACGCGGCGCTGGGGAGCAGGTCGCACGCGGGTTGGAGGGGGCAGCGGGTGGCGCACGACGCTGGGCAGCGGGTCGCGCGCTAGTAAGGGGCAGTGAAAAAAAAAAAAAAAAAAAAAAAAAAACGTTTGGGCCCTAGGAAATTTCCTGGCCATGTTGAGCATAGTAATTAGGAATGGATGAACCATCGAGAGGGTTCGGCACAAATACAAGCAATTCCTAAAAGGGTTGTACCCCATATTGGCTACCCTCTTAGCAGCAGCCATGTGCTCTGATCGGTGCCGACCAGGAGCCACGTAGCGAGCCAGAAGGCCACGAGGGTACGCAAGGTCAGGACGAGTGCAAGTCATCAGGTACATGAGGCAGCCAACTAGCTCTGGGTAAGGACCACTCGGCTCTACGGACTCGTCCGAAGGTGGAGCTGAGAGCGAGTGACCTGTAGCCAGAGGAGTGGCCTGTGCCGAGGACCAGGTGAAGCCGAAGCGCTGAAGGACCTGCTGCACCATGTGTGACTGAGTCAATGTGATGGTGCGGCGTGCTCTATCCCGGATGATCTACAAGCCAAGGTAACTGTGCAGCTCACCAAGGTCTGTGCACGTGTGTCTCTTCTGCAGCTCCGACTTCACCAGGGCGAGAGCCTCATCCTTAGCAGTAGCGAAGACCAAGTCATCGACGTACACGAGGATGTAGAGCGGCGGCAGCGAGGTGTCGGTGCGCAGAAACAGCGACGGGTCAGCAGTCGAAGGAGCAAACCCAAGAGCCGCAAGTGTAGTCCTCAGTGTGTCGTGCCACTCACGTGGCGCCTGGCGGAGACCATAGATCGGCCGCCGGAGGCTCCACTGGGTACCAGGAGGGAACGACCCAGTGAAGCCAGGAGGGCGGCGCAGCCAGATCTCCTCGTGCAGGCTGCCCTGTAAGAAAGCTGTGCTGAAGTCAAGAGAGTGAAGCTTGTAGTAAGGCTGAGCGGCGACGTGCAGTATCACCCGAAGAGTGGTCATCTTGAGGGTGGGGGAGAAGGTCTGGAAGAAGTCAACTCCCTCTCGCTGACTGAAACCTCGAGCAACGAAGACAGGCGGAGAACCTGGCGGCCGCTTCACCCTGAGAATCCACATGCCATCGACGATGTTCGCCCCAGGAGGGGGAACCTCGTCAACGTAAGTGCCTGTGGACTTCCAAGATGCCATCTCTGCGTCCATGGCTGTCCGCCACTGAGAGGAGTACTCACCCGTGATCGCCTCAGCCTAGGAGCGCGGGGTCGGGATGACTGGAGCATCCGGGTCTCCCTTAGGGGCAAGCAGAATGGACACGAGATGAGGCGCAGCGGCTGCAACACACTCAAGGTCCTCCTGCCCGTCCTCAAGGACGTCCGTGCCAAGAGCACACTCACCCCCGACGGACAAAGGACAGACAGACTCAGACCCAGCAACAAGACTAGCGGCGTAGTCTAGACGACAGGCAGCAGCAAAGTCAACAAGCTCTGCGACTAAGGGAGACGAAGCAGCAGACTCAAACGACGGGTCAGTGACAACTGTGGTGAGCAGACGCGTGACAGTAGGGTGAGCAGCACGGGTGCGGTCAGACTCAGGCTCAGGAACGGTATGCAGAGACGACGCAGGAGGGGACGGCAGGGGAACACGCAGCGGAGGAGAGGAAGGACGACGAACTACGAGGTGGGTGCCGGGGACAGCCGGCTGACGCGAACGAGGATCTTGACGACCGGAACTACTAGAACAGACAAGAGAGACAGGACGCGACACAGGCTCACGACGCTCAGTAAAACCCCCTGTTTGCTCAGTGTAAGGAGAAGGAGCAGGCAGCGGAGAGCCAGGCTGTGAGGTGAGAGGCACACGTGGACGAAGGCGGCTACTCCAGGGAGACCGTGCAACAGCAGACTCAGAACCCTCAGCGCCAGCACCCGCAGCAGCTCCAGAACCTCCAGCGCCAGCACCCGCAGCAGCTCCAGAACCTCCAGAGCCAGTACCCGCAGCAGCTCCAGAACCTCCAGCGCTAGTACCCTCAGCAGCTCCAGACTCCGCACCCCGAGGCTCCGCACCTCCAGGCTCAGCACCCCCAAGCTCTGTCAAACATTCTATATGTTGTGCTTGTTTAGGCTACAGTGGGTTAGCCTATAGGGGGTACACAATTCTAGGGTTAGGTACTTGTACTGATTTCACTGTTAGTTCAATCATTCCTGTTCGTTCATTTCAACATGGTATGGAGCAGGTCCTTCGCTAGGACCGTTTTTTTTAGGGCCCACCACTACCTACCTACCTACCTGCCTAACTGCGCCCTAGGGCGCCTCGTTTTTTCACGGCCCCCTAAGGCCCCGCGACCCGCCCCTTAGCGACTCGCGCGCCGCCCCTTAAGGCCCCGTCGGCCCACGCGCTCGCCCCTTAAGGCCCCGCGATCGCCCCTAACGGCCTCGTCGACCCCGCGCTCACCTCCCTAGAGGCCCCTTACGGCCCCGCGCTCGCCCCTAAAGGCCTCGAACGGCCCCGCGCTCGCCCTTAGCGGCCCCTTACGGCCCCGCGCTCGCCCCTAAAGGCCTCGAACGGCCCCGCGCTCGCCCTTAGCGGCCCCTTACTGCCCCGCGCTCGCCCCTAGAGGCCCCGATCGGCCCCGCGCTCGCCCTTAGCGGCCCCTTACGGCCCCCCGCTCGCCCCTAGAGGCCCCGAACGACCCCCCCAGAACGAGCCGCCCGACCCGAGCAGCCCGAACCAAGCCGCCCAGCCCGAACCGAGCCGCCCGAACCGAGCCGCCCGAACCGAGCCGCCCAGCCCAAACCGAGCCGCGCCGCCCGAACCTAGCCGCGCCGCCCTACCTGAACTGAGCCGCGCCGCCCTACCTGAGTCGCACTGCCTACTGTTTTTGGGGTGCCCCTACTGCTATTTCTCCTACTACTGCTATGGCTAGCCCTCCTGTGCTGGCTTTCGATGCTGAGGGCCGCCCAGTGAAGTTCGAAACCTGGCTAGATGACCTACACCTCTTCCTACAGCTCACTGCCAAGGAGGACATCTCACTGTACGATCACGCCCTAGGCCATGCTTCTGCTCCTGCTGCTACTGCTGACAGCACTGCCCGCTCACAGTGGCAGACTCGTGACGCCCACGCTCGCTTCGCTATTCGCAACTCCCTGCCGATAGATGAGCGCGAGCACTTTGGGCAGCACAAGACTGCGCAGGCAATGTACACTGCTGTCGTTGCCCGCTACTCCTCACCGGCCTCTGCCGCACTAGGCCGTCTCTCTCTTCCCTACTTGTTCCCCGACTTAGCCTCTTTCCACACAGTCGCTGACCTCATTACGCACCTCCGCACTAGTGAGGCTCGCTTCCGCGCCGCCATGCCTAATGAGTTCCTTGCCAAGAACCCACCCCCACTCTGGCTCACTCTCTACCACCTAGTCACCCGCCTCCCTGACACTCTGCGCTCAGTCAGGGACCACTTCCTAGCTCGCTGCCCCACTGAGCTCACCATTGCCCTCCTCAAGAAGGAACTCCTTGCAGCTGAGGCTAGCATAGTCGCTGTAGGTGCCTCTCGTGGCGACCCCCGTACCCCGTTCTTTGAGGGGTGTTCTACTTCCCCCCTTCTTCCCTCTGTCGCCTCTGCTGCTGCTGCCGACCTCCTTGGTGCTGAGAAGGTCGGGAGTGCGTCTGCTTCGAGCGGGCGCCGCAGCGGCAAGGGCAAAGGGGGCAAGGGAGGTGGCG